ACATCCAGAGACACATGAAGAGATGCTCAATGTCGCTAGCTATCAGAGAGATGCAAATTAAAACCACAATGAGATACCACTTTACACCGGTCAGGATGGCTATCATAAACAAAGCAACAAACAACAAATGTTGGAGAGGTTGTGGGGAAAAGGGGTCCTTAGTTCACTGTTGGTGGGATTGCAGACTGGTACAACCATTATGGAAAACAGTATGGAATTTTCTCAGAAAAATAAAAATTGACCTGCCTTTTGACCCAGCAATTCCACTGCTAGGATTATATCCTAAGAATCCTAAAACATCAATATCAAAGAACCTATGCACCACAATGTTCATAGGAGCACAATTTACAATAGCCAAGAGTTGGAAACAACCTAGGTGCCCATCAGTAAATGAATGGATCAAAAAATTGTGGTACATTTACACAATGGAATTCTATGCTGCAGAGAGAAAGAAGGAGCTACTACCTTTTGCAACAACATGGATGGAACTGGAAGGCATTATGCTGAGTGAAATAGGCCAGGTGCTGAAAGACAGATACCACATGGTCTCACCTTTAACAGGAAGCTAAACAACAAAACAAACAAGCAAGCAGAATAAAAAAGCAAAGGCACTGAAATAGAGAACAAGGGGACAGTGACCAGAGGGGAGAGGGAAGGGAAGTTAAGGGGGAAAAGGGGGAGGGATTTGGAGGAACAAATAGGAAGGACACAGGGACGAGAACTAAGGGGGGTGGAAATGGGAGGGAGGTGGGGAGCAAGGGGCGGGGGAGGCTGGGATGGGAGAAATAGACAAAAAAACTGTACTTGAAAAATAACTAAATAAAATTAATTAAAATGAAAAAAGTTATATTTTCACAATTTTATCTAATCTTTTGTAGACATGTAGGGAATATGATATTCTGATTAATGAAATGCTCTATGTGTGGAATTTAAAAATATACAAAAACATATCTAGAATTGATGAAATGAATTAAACATATATCTCACAGTCCCTGACTGGTAATAGGCATTCACTACGTGTTTATTGAATGAAGGAGTGGATGAACGAATCAGTCATTATATAGTCAAGATACTGAGCGTAATTTCACCTCCCTCTGGTAACTCAAAGTAATTCCCCTGGCGAAACGTGGCAGAGAGCAGGTTGAGGGACTTCTCCCTGCTCTGGGCTGAGTGACTCTGGCCAAGGCCGTTCCTCATCTGTGCGCATTTGGTGGATCGCTGGCCCCCGTCTGTGCTGCATCTCATGTGGCCTTTTTCTCATCCTCCCTCTCTGCAGACACCCTCTTTGGGTTACCACGTAGTCTTCCCTTTGATTTATTTAAATTATTTTGCTTAACAGCAACATGGTTTGGTTCGGTTTCTCCAGCTATAGAATTAGCTGCTCGTCACTAGGGTTCTGTCCTTCAATCTGCTTTTCTCTGTGTATTCATTCAGTAAGTGTATTTCGATTGTGGTGACAGCGTTTGCGTTATGTTTCTTCACTAATGGTTATTTCCATTTTTCATTTAATTCAATAGAGAGAGAAGTAACCACCAAAATAACAGCAACAAAATTACAGTGTAACCCAGACCTTACAAACGAAGGCTCTGTCCTCAGTGTTAAAACTGCATCTTACCTCTGCATGACCTCCAGAGGGTTTGGAAGTGCAGGGCATGCAGCTAAAAAATGAAATGTTTATCAAAGAAGAAATTCAAGGCAAGAAGAAAGACAAAAATGCCAAAATTCACCCTGAAACTGCTTTCAGCTACTACCCACCAGGCTGCTGACATGTTCCATTTCACGGTTCTTTTTCTGACAGATACTGAAGGATTTGCTAGCCGAGCCTGTCATACAAGCCAAAACTCTCTTCTAGACACATGAGTGAGAAATCAAAATATTTAAGCCAAGCAGAATGATTTTATTTTTCTTAAAAGAGAGAGATAACTAACTCCATAAAAGAAACTTTTCTTTTAGTCGCATTTTTATTCCTCATTTTCTCTGTGAGAGATGTCCAGTGTGCTTTTCAGTCTCAGAAGCACATGTTCATAGAAAACCAGCCTGTGGCCGCAGTCAGCAGAATCACCTGGGCAGCAGAGCCAGGGTGTGGAGCCTGCTCCCGGGCAGACCGAGAGGCGCGCCGTCGCTGGGTAACCTGTGACCACTCGAGTTTGGCCGCGCAATAAAACGTGCTTTTCTTTCCGTTGTGACCCTCTGTCATCGCTAGTGAGGGTCAGATGCAGTGAAGTGTTTTCCTAACTTCCTCCCCCAGCCCCCCGCGCCCCCCCCCCCGTGTCACCGCAGGGAAAGTGCTCAGGAGTCACTCCGTTTCCGTCCCAGGACGGGGCAGGGCTGGCGTGCTGTCTGCTCCTCCGCCGTGTGCTCTTCCCTCTGGGGGGGCGGGGGGGGGGCGTTTCCTCTGTGTCTCTCACCACCTCCTCCGCCCGGTGCATTTGCTGCTCCCCACCCCCGACAGCTGCCTCCAATTAGATTGTGTTTCTGGGTTTAAATGAGATCAGTGTGGAGGTCCTGCCCTGCTGCGCTGTAAGAGCTACAGTTTCTCTTGAAAGCTGTTTGTCCTGCTGTCTGGGTGACAGGCCACGGCCGTCCCACCCTGTGGTTTCCTGCAGCATTTCCATCACAACGTAAGGAACCTGGGGTTCTGCTTTGTCTGGGTGTGGAACCCACGTGTCTCCTCACAGGGCTTGTCGGTCCTGGGCGTCCTGGGAGAGAGGAGGAGAGAGCGGCGACGTCACTGCTCGGCACCCTGAGGGGACAGACGCCAGGGCCGCCAGCCCCCCTGCGGGCTGTTCCCTCCCACGGAGAGTGGGGGCTGCTGTGCAGAGGGGGCAGCAGGAGTGGGGTCCTCTCCCTGTAAGAACGCAACTCAGTTGATGCCAAAAAGATATTTCACCAGGTGAAAAAGAAAGCCACTTATTTAACAAGAAAAAAAGGCAAATTTATAGATGACTGGAAAACCTGAACTCACCAAATGTGGGAAACTTTTAAAATAGAATGACTACGTGTACGGGTTCTATCTCCCAACGAGCCGAAACACGTCGCGCAGTCTCCGATTAGACCTGGTTTTCCGGACACGGTCCTTGGGCGTCTGCGACCTTCGGCCCCAGCTCACGGCAGGGTGTGCGGTTGGCCGGACCGATCCAGCGCAGACACAAGAACATCCAAATAAGCTCCACATCAGGCTTCTTTCTGCTACTAACTTGGTGTTTGTCTCGGTTACATGCAGTTTATAATTTGCCCATTTACCTCAGATATCAACACTTTCACATTCCTAAACCACCAAGCAAAGTACAAAAAACATTAAATGACAGTCAGGCAGCTTCTGTTTTATAGGCATGAAGTCGTGCAGCTTTGCACCTCTGTTCTTATGCTGGGATCCAACTCTTTTTACAAAACAATTAGCTACTTATGTGCCTGTTTACAAATAATTTGAACAATTAGAATATTTAACATATTCTTTAATGATCTATAATACCGCTTAGTATATTAAAGATATTAAACTTTGCTCTCTGGTAAAATATGAATATATTTCCCACTTTATCATTTGATTTTATGTCATTTCCATTGTATTCACAGCATTTTTCTGTGGTCAAGGAATTGCCCAATTTTCCTGTGGTGACGTCCGTGCCTTTTGTTCCCTGCCACTGGCAGTGTGTGCTCAGAACGTCCTCACTGGCTCTGCTTCCCTTTCGCTGCTTTGGAACCACGTTTTCTTAGTGTCACCTGGTAAAGCCCTTGCAGCCGGCACAGCCTCGTCCCCGCCCCAGTGCAGCCTCTGCCAAAGGTCACGGCCTCAGCAGCTGGCCTGCCTCCCATCCGCTGAGGCTGTGACCTTTGCTTCCCATGCCCGCCCTCTCCCGCAGCCGTTCACTGGTCTTGGATCGCCCTTCTCCGAGCTCCCAGGGGCCATGCTGGCGGCACCTCACCTGCCGTGGGGAGCTGCGAGCAGGCCTGAGGCTCCCCTGTTAGCTCTCGGTGGGTGGGCATTGGCACCCCAGCTGGAGACCCCTGTGGGAGAGGGGCCCACACCCAACCCGACCCTGTCCTCACAGTGAGGCCGGGAGAGGCTGCTCTCCTTTCCATGATGAAGGAGCCTGTTCTCGGGTCACCCGGCACATCGGCTTCCCCTTCGAGGCCTTTTAAGTCTTAGGGCCACCGGGGTGCACGCTGTGGACAAAGGAGGCACCCCGGGGAGAAGGGGGGAGCCGGTCTGGACTGAGGTCAGAAGGAGGACGCTCCTGGAAAAACGGGTTCAAAGCACCTCAAGTCCTGAGAGGGACGTCAGAGCCCCATCCCCCGGGAAAGGGGGAGGCCGGGCTGCCCGGCCCCTGCGGGCGAGGGTGGCCGCACCGGTCAGCGTCTGTGACGGGCACAGGCGGTCTCCGTGCACACCGCGCTCTGCCGCCCGCCTCACGTCAGCCTTGCACCCCCTGTGCCGACCACATTCCTGCACAAGCCCCCCGAGCCCCCCTCTCAGAGCCCCAGCCAGCAGCACACAGACCCACGGGGCCTCGGGCGCAGCCCTCAGAGGAACCAGCAGGAAGGAGCCCCAGGTCTGCGTGGCTCGGACATCTTCCTGCAGAAGGCGTTTCTACCCTCAGGCTCCAGGGAATAAACTGCCACTAGGCCTCTCCGCACACACACCGTCGTCCCCACCTGGACCGGCCCCGGTGCAGACAGTGAGGGCCTGGTGGTCAGCGCACGCTCGCTTCCGGTTGTAAATGATGCAACCGCGTGTTTTCATGTGTATGGTCTTTTTTTATTTTATGTAGCAAGATGCTGCTTAATGGGAGTGAAATATGTACAAAGTGCTCTTTACAAAAAAAAAAAGAGAGAATATTCCTAATTTGCAGAGCTGCCCAGTAAAAATCATTAGGAAAACTGATACTAAAATAGATATGTAGCTACAGGTTGCTAGTACAATTTGGACTCTGTTATGACTGTTTTGGGAACCATTAATCGCTTTCCAAAAGACAGATTGCCTCATTTGTTTCTGTTTTCAGGACACAGCGGGCCAGGAGAGGTACCGCACCATCACCACCGCCTACTACCGAGGGGCCATGGGCTTCGTCCTGATGTACGACGTGACAAACGAGGGCTCCTTCACCGCCGTGCAGGACTGGTGAGTCGGCCCCCGCCATGGCGGCATCCACTCCCGGCTGTTCCTCCTCCTGCCGAGACCCCCCACCCCCCGGTGTGGTGTGTGCGTGTCACACACCCGGGTCTGCACGCCCTTCGTGAAACAGCCGCCATGCTCAGCTCCTTCCTAAGGGCTCGATCGGAAGCGGTGCGGGTGAGTTTTCTCCCTGCCGTTCATCTCGGTGCTCTGCCTCCTGTCGTCCTCATCTCCGTGGGGACCAGCCCATTGCTTTCACGTTTTACACACAAATGATGAACAGCTGGGAAGCTTCCTGGTCCAGCACAGGGATCTAGCAACTGGACCACAGGCCCAGTCTGGCCCATGAACTCAGTGCTGCCCACCACTCGCTTTGTAAATAAAGTTTTATTAGGACACAGCCAGGCTCACTGCCCGGGTCTGGGAGGGACTCCCAGGACAGCAGCAGAGAAGCTGCAGCAGCCCCCAGGGGCCCGGACGCCATTCACAGTAGAAGTTTGCTGACGCTGCGTCCAGACTTGTTTAGTAGTTTTCAGTTTTTCTTTGAATGGAAAGTTTTGGAGGACCGGGACTAAGGGAAAGGTCAAACCAGAACCGTTCCAGCCTCATCAAAGCCTCCCAAAGGCCCTCTGCCGGATGCGCGTGGTCCATACAGGGGCCTCCCCGCCGCAGCTGCGCTCCCGAGCTCAGGCCTGGGTGAGCGGCCGGCTTCTGTGGGAAGAGGTGGCGCTGAGCCGGAGCTCCGGGTGGGTTGGGAAGGCTTGGCGCCGGGTCTGGTAGAGCAGGTGAACCGCGTGGGGACTGGTGGTCGCGGTTAAACTGACATTGGCTCTGCGATGCCTTAGATGCCACGTGGCCACCGAGGTGGGAAGAGGAGACAGTGTGCGAGGTACACACGCAGCGCTGTTCCGGAACGGACACGGCACCCGGCCGGCTCTCTGGGAAGCCCAGGCAGATGGAAGCGTCTTGTGTTTGGGTGAATTGGGTTCATGAGCAGCGGTTTCACAACCAGCACCAAAAAGACTGTGCGAGACTCCCATTTATCGAGCCAGGAAAACCCACGTGAGGGAGTTGGGGCACTTGCAGGAGGCCCCTGGAGAGGCGAGGCAGGTGGGCCCCGAGCGCAGGGCCCTCTGCGGCCGCAGGGGACCCGAGGATCCCGTAGTGACCTCTAGATCCACAGGTGCCGATGGAGCTCATTTTCTCTCGGCCGGCGGATGCCAGCAGGGCAGTCCCTGTCTGAGACGGGTGTGCCTGTGATGCCCGGCCTGTGGAGTGGCCCTGCAGCAGGTTCTCAGAACCGGACCCAGGCGCAGCAGGTAGTGTTCCTCGAAGACAAGGGCTGCACCCCCAGGGGTCACCAAGTGAGGGGGGCGCCGGGAAGGCTCTCGGGTGCCGAGGCCCCCAAATTGCCCAGCGGGCCTGGTGACCAGACGCGAGAGGTTGGGGGCTGCCACCACCCCAGGGACACCACCGGAGGCTGCCAGGGTCCCTCGTGGTGAGAAGGTGTGCGTCCCGGTCGGCACCATACGGGCTTGCAGGTTTGGTCAGGAGAAGACCTGGACTTGTCCAGTCGAGGGGAGCCATTTTGTAGCTCCAGATTTCAAGAAAATAGAAGTATTCTGAATACTTTTTTCAAATATTCTTATTTTCAAATGTTGTCTCCTTTTTTCTCCAGAAGTGTATAATGATCTTAGGCTGAGCACGTGTTAAATATGGAAGAACTTGAACCTGACGTTAATACCTGAGACGTGGCCAGCGTTTGCTGAGCCTGTGTTCAGGATTCCTCCTCTTGGTCAGGAGCCCAGTTATCTGCCCCTCTGGCTGTGTCACAGCCGGAGAGGACGGCAACAGGGTCAGAGCACAGATGTGTGACCCTGCGTGTCCCCACCAACCCCCGGGTATCGGGGAACCTCCCGTCGCTGGGTCTTCATGAGGACCCTTCTTCCCTGAGCTCTGACGAGTGTCACAGACTCCTCCCACGATCGCCCGCCTGAGCCCGTCTGCATTTCAAAATGCCCAGCTCCTAGGCCACAGCTCCCTTCAAAAAACTCAAGTAAAACCGAACACACCCTGCTCCCTGCACTGCCTTTTCACGCGTCAACCCAGGTGCAGAGGTTTTTTTCGGTGACCCGGGGCGTAGCCTGTGGCTTAAAGATGGGAGCCTGAGACCCGGTTTGGCAGCCTGCGTGTTGGTCTGTCCAGAGGAGCAAATGGGGGGCTGCGGTGCCGTCTTGTCTTTGTGCTTCAGGAGCGGGAACTGCAAGTCCGTGAGTGCTGATGTCAAAGGACAGGCTAGAAGCCACCTTCTCGAAGCCGCCGGAACCTCGGTGAGGCTCCGTGGGGAGTGTGGAGATTACTACACGTGGGACTCGTGGGTGAAAGGCATGACAGCTGCGTCTGCTCTCTGCTCTGCTTCACTTGCTCTCTGAAAGCAGAGTTCTTCTGTGCACGTTTGTGTCATGACATTTATTGTGAACACCAGCTTTTTCTCACAGGGTTTCCTTGGTTTCTATCTACTTTAATAGACCTGACTTTTAAAGGAGTTGCCTGTCTCTGGGCGGACTTGTCTTGAAGGACAGTGACTGGACCTGCCCTCAGGGAAGGAGGCCGTGAAAAGAGCTCATTGCCAGGCCTGGGTGTTCAGCCTGGTTTCTGGGCGGGTTGGTGGTGGTGGTTTGAAAGCAAACCTGTGGGGTGAAGATGCCCCCACTTAGAGCAGGGTCTGGGCTTCGGAAATGAGCAGTCACACCTGTGGCCTCCCTGACCCCGCTGGTGAGCACAGGTCCACCATCGCCAGGACCTCCTCGCGCCGCTTCTTCCCCTCAGTGGTGGTGTCCGCCCCTCCCGCCTCGGCCGTCAGCCCCACACTGGCGACCTGTGACCCCTCAGTCTGGCACAGGGGCCCTCCTCCAGCTGCGGGTTCTGGAGCCCCACTGGTTCCTCTGCCACTGGGGTGGACTTTGCCATCTATCTTTGCAGTAGATCATTAAGATAATTATTCTAATTATCAGTTGTAAACCACACCCCCTACTTCTAGATGAAAAAATAAACACAAAATAAAACTATTCGAAAGAGAAAATTAGAAAACAGCGAAGTAGTCATGGGAGGGTGTTGTCACCAGAGACAGTGGCTCGTGGCGCCTGGCGTGCGACCCGGTTACATTTGGACAGAGCTCATGAAGTCCTGTCACCCACCTTCCCCGTCTGTGCTGCCCGTGCCCAGGGCAGCCCGGCCAGATGCCCCGTCTCCGTCCCCTCGGTCTGATGTCCCCAGTTACAGTGTGTCACACCCTATGACCTAATTGTATTTAGAAACACCAAACAGATTTTAAAAAAGTTTTCCTTCCCAAGGCATATGAAAAGTGACAACCAGTGGGTGGCAGGTGAGGGAAGAGAGGTCACAGGGTCTGAGCAGTGTCCTCGGCGGATTCCAGACTTTTTGAGCCAATACTCACAGCAATTAAAGGTGTTTGAATGGTCGTCAAAGTAGATGTCTGTCCAGAGTTAACTGAGGTTAAGGAAACAGTCCTTCACCAGACTAGCCTCACTCCAGATGCAACTTCTAAGCTGGGGTTCCCTAACTTTGGGGTCCCCATGGCCACGCTCACCCTGACCAGCTGGCTATAAATCCAGGGTTTCTCACGACTACTTTCAGATGTGATAATTCACTAGAATGACCTACAGGATTCCAGAAAGTGTTATATTCGTGTTATATTCGCTACAAGTGTTAATTGTAGTTTTATCAGAACAAAGATACAAATCAGTACCAGCCAGAGAGAGATGCATTCCGGGGGGGACGTGGGAGGGCTCCAAGGGGAAGCTCTGCGGTTGTCAGGGACGCACGACCTGTGAGGACGACACACCAGGGAGCCCCCCAGGCTCTGATGTGCAGAACGTCACTGAGGCTTCCACACGGGCAGGATTGGCTGCACCATTGCCCGCGTGGTCGAGCCCCTCCTGAGGGGGTGCCTGGCTCAGCGTGCCCGCCCTCTCACCCCAACTGGTCTGTTGGCTTGGCGTGGCCACACCCACCCATTCCGAGTCGTCTCCTTAGTTGGCATAAACTGTCCGTGAGTCATCTCATTAGCATAAACTGTCAGTGAGTCATCTCTCAGCGTGAACCGTCAGGGGTGCTCTGCGGACCCACCACCAGTAAGAGGCGCTGGGTCAGGTGAGAGTGGGGAGTGGGGAGGGTCAGCGCCCCAGAAGGGGGGGGGGGTGAAGACCGACCAGACTCTCCAACGTACAACAGCCGTGTGTTCCCCCATAAATAACAAGCACACACCATTGTGCCGTCTGGAATGCACGTCACAAAACACAGATATGCTAAAAAACGCCGGGTTGAGTATAAAAATAGAACTTTGAATATTGGATTTTATTCCTTGTGAAAAACCACTTTGTAGAAGACGTTCAAGAAAGCAGCCCTTTTACGAACCCCTGAAAGGGTGCCGGGTGGCTTACCCACCGCAGTGACACCCATGGCAGCACCGCCCGCCACTCCGCCTCCCCCCCCCTCCCCCCTCCCTCCTCCCCACATCTTGCCATTCAAATCAGCTTCACTGCCGCTGAAGTGGCAATGCCTGGTGCCAAGGCCAGACTGACAAGGTCATGTGGCTACAGCCTCATCACAAGGCAGGGGTGTGTCAGAACACTCTTCATTTTATGAGCAAAGATGGAGCCACAGATATGCTTCCTCAGCCTGAGTTCCGTGGACCGATGGCCCAGGGGCCCCAGGTGGACGGGGTGGGCGGCTCTGGTTCCTGGCTCTCGCGGAGTTAGCAGGAGCTGTGCCCACCACAGGCAGCCCTTCCGACTTGCATATCAGATGTTTAAGCAACGTGAAAAAATGGATGCTCTGCTAGAATTAAAATTATTTTCTTATCTTTCGTTCATAAACTGGTAACTTAAAAAATGTACATTAATATGGTAATTTATGTAAATCTTTGTCTTCACAGTTTATATTCTGGAGCCGAGTCTTTTCTAAATTGCCAGAGCACAGAATTT